CCGAGGGGCAGGGAGTGAAGATCCGCACAAAGCTGGGCACACAGTGGAGACAAGAGCTCTGCTGGTGCTGTTTGGGCTGTTGCCAGGACGCCGGAAGCTGCAACCCGAGACTAAAACTAAATCGCTGGTGCTGGTAGAGGAGATGCTGAGGCAAGCCTGTGCAAAAATAGCCCTGTCTGGCATTCAGAGAGGCAGGGTTTCGTGCAACTTTGTCTCCGATGTTGACAGCTCCCCGATTGCCCTCAGTCTGGATTTTTTTGAAGATGGCAGCACACGAAGTTTGGCCGACCTGGAGAACTTGCATAAGGGTGCAAGCAAGGGCTGGGACAAGCTTTCGCAGCACGCTTGGTGTGGTCGCAAACTTTCAACCACTCTTCAGCAAACGAACCTTTGGGATATCTACCTCTTCCTAATATGGAGCAAGCACAACCCGAGTTCGAAGATCTGGGAGCAGTTCTCTGTACACCTTTATCCCAAGGTTGTTTTCTTGGCTGGTTACTTGCTGGAGGCCTATGTCGATGAACTTGCCAACTTGCCACTGGCACCGCTTCCCCTTTTGAAAACCAAGCATGGAAACAGTCGACGAGTTCCGAAAGTGAACAAAATCATACTTTTACAACGCGTGAAGGCGCAAAAGCGCCACAGAGGAGAAGTCATGCAGACGCACACTGACTTGGCGCCACCTCAGATCGCACTGGTGCGAGCTGAGGCTAATTTGGAAGTGGCTGAGTATGTCAAGCTCTTGACGACCGAGCCTCGGCATCAAACTTTACGGCTCGCTGTTAAAACCCTAGACTCTAGACCCTTAAACCTAAACTTTAAAGCACTATTTGAAAATAGAGTTTAGGGGTTAAGCCCGAAACCCTAAACCACGTTTTCATTCTGATGGTTAGGCCTTGGGCAGGTAGGGTCTGTTTACTATTTATAAAAGTGGGTTATCTTGTAGGGTTTAGATATTAATTTAGATTATTCTAGAACTTGAAGAGGTGTTTTATTTGAGATTGACCGTTACGCTTTTGCCTGCCCTGCTATGGCCTGCTGAGCACAAAGGTTTTATGTTTCAGGGTGTTGTTGAATTGATATGAGATAGATCTTTAGGCTTCTGGATGTCAGGGCCTGCTTGCAAGAACTAACTTACCTTGTCAGGCCTTTGCCGACACGCAGCATGTCCAGGTGTCCTGGGATGCGTCAACCTATGATGTGGAAACTTTAGTGGCGATCGCATACGATTACAAGAAGAACGTGTCGGGCTACTTACCCATACAAAACATCAGCCCCGTCCAGACAGCAGAGTTGCACGAAACTGTGAGGACATTGGCTGTGCAAGGCCGGATCACACGTGTCGAGAGTTACAATACAATGCGATCTTTCAGCCATGCCCTGAACTCAATTGGGCTTCCGCTTGCCGCCTTCGCAAAGCCTCCAGACCTACTTCTGGGGCCACTCCGGGCTGAGGAGGAACGGGTGCTGATGAACGGGACCTACTTCATTTATAATACCACGACACAGTCGATTCAAAGACAGGTACCGACTGCATGGAGTCTGGCGAAGCAGCCACTGTTGATCTCGGTGAGCGATCAGGGACCGCTGAACTGTCCTGGTCTCGATCACTTGCAGTTCAAGCTTCGTGGGTTCGTGCTTCCCTTGTATGATCAGAGTCATCGTACATGGAACGACTTGAAGTCGGCCATGAGGAGTGTGAAGCTCTTTCGCATCCTCCTGCAGTTCTCCATTCTCTACAACATGAATTATGGACCTGGAGGCACCAAGGCTTGGATGGCCAAGAAGCAACAGTATGCAGAGGAATTTAGAGCCAAACAGACAGCTGATGGCCAAATCTTCCTCAGCTACATGCCGTACATCTGCCATGAGATGGGCCTTTCGGAGCCAACGACTGCTGAGGAGAGGGAGGCACTCTTCGGGACGATCACTTCGCTGCAGACGCTGCAGCAGCATGGACCACTCGTCAAACTCATGAGATGGTTTTCTTACTTCCAATCGCACCAATTTTATGCTGGCGAACACTTCTGGACAAAGATGCTGATTGGGGAAGGTGGGCCGCCACAGCAAGGCATCCAGCCTGAGGCAGTGCTGACACCGGATATCTTGGCCGGCAATCTGGACGATCGAGAGGAGCTACGACAACTCAAGCTCAAGATGGGCTCATGGCGACTTGCACCGTTGCTCGTAACACCATGGACCTGGTGGAAAAACGAGCTTTTGGTTTCCATGGCGACGCCAGTCTGGAGCTGCTTCACACAGACAGAAAGCACCTTGGGTTATTGCTAGTCGATGACATCAGCCCTGAAACCCTCAACCCCTCGAACTTCGGGGCCTGGCTCCGATAATAGCTGCACTTCCGCCAAAGACAAATTACCAGGCTTCGCAGACTACGCCTTCGATGAGTTCGTGCTGTAGTCGCTGCTGAACCTGTCTGAAATCAGCAGTCTGAAATCAGCCGTCTGAAATCAGCTTCGTCTGAAATCAGCTTCGTCTGAAATCAGCAGTCTGAAATCAGCATAGCCATGATGCCTGCAGAACTTGAGTCCTGAAACCCTCAATCCCTCGAACATCTAGCTTCTCAATCCGAAGCAATGATTAACTCTTGATGCAATTGAGACCCTACCAAACCGCTCCAGGCCCAGCAGCTCAAGTTGCCTCACGAGATCGCCGGTGACATCGCCAAAAGAGCTGGGACCAAGCTCTGGGCCGAGGAGATCCACGCTGTGATCGGGAATGGCTTCTTTGATGGGCCTCAGAAACTGTACCCGGCTCGCTTTCTTTCAAACGAGGAGGAAGGACAGTGCATCTCTTTGCACTTTCGGTACCTCATGCAGCTACTTCAGCTGCCTGGCCTTTTTTATTTTGGTCCTCGACACCTAGTCAGGACTTGCTGAGCCTTACCATCCTTCTGGGTTGAGTCCATTTCAAGGTTTATAGGGTTTAAGAGTTTAAGGTTTAGGGTTTGGCGCTTAGGGTTTAGAAGGTTTAGGGTTCAGGGTTTACAGGGTTTAGAGTTTAAGGTTTAGGGTTGAGGCTTTAAGCCCCCACACTACCGAAGACTGAATAAGGAGACGTGTGCAGAGCTCCGCTTCGTACTACCTCCGACCGCCTTTTCGATATGCTGGGGCACTTCTTGCAGAAAGCAGGGAGACCACCCTTCGCCAGATGCATGCCGACTGGGCAGCCGTCTTGAAGGCCGAGAAAGCCATGGCTGGTGGAGCAGGCATGGAACCCCTGAAGGAGATGCATTGGCGGCTGAATTCCGTCAACAGGCTGATCCACTTGATCCGGGACATGGCCGAGGTCGCTTCAACAACAGCCGAACGCCGGGCCTACAACAACCAAGTGGTTGAGCTTCTGACCTTCGTCAGCACGCATCTTGCCGACACAGTTATCGTGGAAAATACACATCAGATGGCCAAAGACGCGCTCAGGGACGCACGCCACTTTCAAAAATCTCGGACAGGGAAGCAAGTTGCTTGCATACGCTGCAGTGCAATACCGAGCCGTGGTGTGCCCTGCTTGAAGGTGTCAGATGATCAGAAAGCCACTGCTTCTGCGGGCAAGTCCTCGAGCTTTGACAAGCTCACGCACCCCAACACCCATGCCTCCCGCCTCAATCTATGTCTGCAAACTCTAAGGCCCTAAGACTCTCAGGATCATTAAGGGCTCTATTTCCGACTACCCTAACTCCGCAAATCCTAAGGTCCGAAGACCTTAAAATTTGCTAAAGAAAGCTCTTCTTTGTCTTCGACTCAGGCTCTCAAAAAGGAGTTCCAGAGGCTCATGGAAACTAAAACGAAGCAGCATACGTGGCCGAGCACGACCCAGCAGATGGAGTGGCAGCAAGTTGTGGCTACAGAGTGGTTCCTCTGCTACATGCAAGATGGGGACAAGTTTGCAGCTGGCCCCAACTCTGCTTGGCTGTCTGTCTTGGCTGGGGCAGCAGGCGAGGTGGTAGCATGCCAGCGTGCAGGAGAGATCATGTTGATCTTGGCTGTTGGATCTTATGGCTTCGCTGCTTGGGACCTGGAGCTGGCGGCAGGAGTCCGCACGGCTGCTGGGATGTCGGCTTTCCGGCCCTACAGGCACAATGCCATCCGATTCCACCACATCACGGAGCTGGAGGACTGGGTTTCCGTTCCTGTCAAGCCTGGCCTGTCTGGCCCGCACGGCCCGCTGCACCTGGAACAGACCTCTGAGGCCATGTCGCTGCCCTTGGCTAGAATCCATGCCGGACTCAATCTGACATGCAAGCAGTGCCAGGACCTGTTGGCATTGTTCAAAGTCAACTTTCGCAAAAACCAGTCACGAGCCAGCTTGCACGGCCTAATCCTCGATCTTTTCTTGGAAACCGAGCACGAGAAAGAAGAGGCCAGGAGGAAGATGGCTGCCTGCTTGCTTCCACAAGAAGAAGAACACGCTGAGGACAGTGACATGGAGGAGTTGTTGGAACAGCTCGAGGATCTCGAGAATCAGGGCGATCCAGAGATCCAGAAAGAGAAGGAGAAGATCAAACAAAGGAGAACTGGACGGATCGCTGTCCCCAGAGCTGCTGGTCCCGACGAGGGAGAACAAGTTCCGAAACGGAAGGCTAAGGCCAAGGCTCCGCCAAAGCAACGGAAGAAAGGCTTGCTCGAGCCGAAGATGAAGGCTCATCTAGGGCACGGGTTTACAGGCTGAGGGCTTTGGATTTTGCTGGGTTTGGAGTTTAGTTTCAGAGTGAATGATAGCTAGCTCTCGGGCTCAGGGTGATTCTCTGCAGGCACGACGGAAGAAAACTCTGAAGGCCAAAACGGCAGCCCGTCGCCGAGAGGAGGAAGCCAAGAAGAAGGAATCGAACTTGAAACCTTTTTGTTGCTTAGGGTCTGGGCTAGGGTATCTTGGGAACTAGGGTGGAGGTTCAGGTTGTTGGGTTTAGGGTTTCGTGTTGAAAGCTTTCAACCCTGAACCCCACACACAAGACCTGAAGCGCAATCTGTAAGGCCGAAATTGAAATGGACCAGGGAGCCCATGACAGAGATGAGGAAGCCATGTTTGCAGATGAGGAGGCCATCTTGACGGTGTCGAGCTGCTTAGGGTTTGGGCTAGGGTATCTTGGGAACTAGGGTGGAGGGTCAGGCTTTTGGGTTTAATCAGGTGTTGCGGACTGAAGGCTCTCAACCCTGAACCCCACACCCAAAACCTGAAGCTCAATCTGGAAGGCCGAAATGGACCAGGAAGCACCTCGCAGAGAGGAGGAAAACATCTTTGCACAGGAGGAGGCCATCTTGACGGTGTCGAGCTGCTTCTGCTTTGGGCTAGGGTATCTTGGGAACTAGGGTGGAGGTTCAGGCTTTTGGGTTTAGGTGGTTCGGATTGAAGGCTCTCAGCCCTGAACCCCACACTCAAAACCTGAAGCTCAATCTGGAAGGCCGAAATGGACCAGGAAGCCCATCGCAGAGAGGCAGAGGAGGAGGCCATCTTGACGGTGTCGAGCTGCTTCCGGTTTGGGCCAGGGTATCTTGGGAACTAGGGTGGAGGTTCAGGCTTTTGGTTTTAGGGGTTTTCGGTTTAGGTTTTTCGGTTTAGGCTTTAGGGCTCTCAACCCTAAACCCCGAAACCCTAAACCCGAAACCAAAGACGAAGCCCGCCGCCGAGAGGACAAAGCCATTGTCGAGTTTGAAACTTTTGTGTGATTTGTCTAGGGTTCGGGCTAGGGTATCTTGGGAGTTGTGGTGTAGGTTTGGTTAGTTTGGGCTTGGGCTTTCAACCCTCAAACCGAAACCCTATTCCCGAAAGCCAATCTGACAGGCCGAAGAAAAGGCCGAAGAGGAAGTTTGGGCTCGGGTATTTGGGGAATATGGTTCAGGTTTGTGTTGTAGGATTTCGGGTGTAGGCTTGAGGGCTCTAGGTGCTGGTGGTGCTGCTGGTGAGGGTGTGGCTCTATACTAAACCATCAATCCCCAACCCGAAGTACCAAACCCGAAACCCAACCTGGAAGGCTGATGAAGAGGAAGCCCATCGCCCAGAGGAGGAAGCCGAGAAGGAGTCGAGTAAGGCTTGAGGGCGCGAAACGATCTATCCCCAACCTTAAGTACCAAACCCAAATCCCAATCTGGAAGCCCCATATGGACCGTCGCCTACAAAAGGAAGCCTATTTGTGGTTTAGTGTTTGGGGGTATCCTAGGGCGAGGGGTTGAGGTTTTAAGGTTTCGGCTTGAGGGCTCCTCAACCCAACCCAAAACCCAAAGCCCGATCTGGAAGGTCGAAGACGAGGCCGCAGAGGAAGCCCGTGGCCGAAAGGAGGAACGGAGGAACCCAATCTTTTTGTGCTAAGGTTTGGGCTAGGGTATTTTGAAGTATCTTGGTAATATGGTCTGGTTTGGGCTTTAGGTTTCAGCCTTCAGGGGCTTGCCTTTTGTGGGTCTAGGTATCGGGTTTCCAGTGTCGGGTGCTGAGTTCAGGCTGGCCCTCAGAATGCTGCCGCTTCCAGCAGCCTGCCTGCTCCCAGTGCCGGTCCTGCCCCATCCGATGCAGCCCTTGGGACTAAATTTTCTTTGCTCTATGTTGAGCTGCATATCAACTTGAGTTGTCTGTTTTGTGAATTGAAACTCCCTGGCTCCCTCAGACCTCGCCCCTAACACTATTCAGCTGAGGAGGATTCTGTGGTACCTGCTTCCAGTCGTCGGGGTGCACCGAGAATTCACAGCTCTCCAATGGAACTTCTTGACCAATTATGTGCTCCGCAAGCTCGCATGACTCTCAGGGTCAACGATTACAGATGGAACGTCGAGTTCAAGGCGACACACAAATATTGGGTGGAAGAGTTTGGAAAGAAAAGCTTCTCGAAGACGTTCACCAAGCAAAATTGGCAGGATCCTCTCAGGCAGGTACACTGCCATATGTGGACCAAATGGGATCTTGCAAGGGATGACTTCCCGCTTGATGAAGGCATCGAAGAACAACACCCTGGTGTGGTGGACGCTGATGTTCTTCGGGGCCTGGCTCCGATAATAGCTGCACTTCCGCCAAAGAAAAACTACTAGGCTTCGCAGACTATGCCTTCGATGAGTTCGTGCTGTAGTCGCTGCTGAACCTGTCTGAAATCAGCAGTCTGAAATCAGCAGTCTGAAATCAGCTTCGTCTGAAATCAGCAGTCTGAAATCAGCAGTCTGAAATCAGCATAGCCATTGGAAGCGGCTTCGGGTCTGAAATCAGCAGTCTGAAATCAGCAGTCTGAAATCAGCATAGCCATGATGCCTGCCTCACTCCTCAGCCGAAGCGGCATTCCAACTAACCGAACGGGCGGGAGGAAAAGAGCAAATGGGGGAGGCCGCTAACCCATGATTAGGTTATATCTCTTTCTGCTGAGCACATACTTTCTGTTCTCTTGGATCGACGACAGAATGACACTGCCCATGGCTCTCTCGAAAGCGTTTGCTTGGACGGCACACTAGCAATGAGTTGAGGTTTTGCATTCCGGGTAAAGTGTTCTCTCGAAGAATGTCATGTACTTGGTCCCTTGTCACGTGCCATGTCTTGGTTGGCTTGCTGCTTGCTTTCGACTCGCCCTACCCATCCTGCATGCCCCAGCTCCGTGGTCTTACAGACCGCGCTCCAGTCGGGCTCGGACCCGAGTTATGGGTCCTTGACCGTGCGGGACAGTGTCGTTGGCCGGCGCTGGGGATTTATTCTGTCTGTGCTCGCCTAGCAAAGTGGTGTGCCCACGGCAGGTGATTCAGCGCAGATTGCAGGGAAGGCCCGACTACTAAATACTATGCCACGTACCCGCGCCCGCGGGCAAAGTCTTGAAGCACTTTGCCCATCGCTGGAAGTTGCCCGCGTGGCCCTGCATGGCATCTTATGTCACACCAACCTTACCAACAAGTCGCGGTGTGTCCAGTTTTGATTCACCAGCCGCGCTTGCATGCCGATGGCCGGGCATGGGGTCGCTTTGGGGGACCGCGGAAGACGGAACCGACGAGGACTTGGGGCCAACCACCAGAGCGGACACCTGGTGATGACAGCCAGCCACATGGGCTAACGTGCTGGCTGGGTCCGAGCTCGGCACCCGAGTGTCCACCTCAGCAACATGGGAGGCCAAATATCGAGCAGTAGTACAGTAATTAGAGTGTCAGTCGAACCTCCTCGGGGTTGCCTTACCTAAGGAGTAAACCCCTGCCCCATCGGGGTTGCTCCCCACACCATTGGCCAGGTGTGAGGCGTTCGGTTTGCCTGTGTCACAGCCTTGAGGCCAACCTATCCCAGGGGCAGGGGATAGATGACAGCCGGGCACATGGGCTAATGCGCCGGCTGGGGCCTGACCTGGTGACATCGAAGCAGTCATGCAAGTCACCGGAAGCAATACCGGACAAAGAAGGGAGGCCGTTCTTGGGACATGGCTGTGTTGTTGAGCTGGTGTGTTCCTCCGTCTCATTCATGCCTGTTATCACAGAGAACCTTGCTGTTGGGTTGTCTTTGTCGAAGGCAGAGTGCCAACATGTTCAGAATGGGGTTTGGTGTATGTTGCTCTACCAAGCGGCAGCTGCATGCCCGCCAGTTTTGGCAGCTACACTGAGCACATCTGGCGGTTTCAGCTGGGGGAAACAAGCACAAGTCTAGAAAAGTGTTTGAAGTTCTCCGCAGATACAACGAAGAATTTCGAATAATAAACCTCGGTGTTCCATTTTGGCAGGTCCTCGAGCCGTGCCAGGAAGCTTAAACCATGAGCCCTAAACTTCCCTAAACCGTGTTTAAGCTTCAAATTGAAACCCACAATCTTCCAAATAATTTGAGTGTCCACCTCAGCAACATGGGAGGCCAAATATCGAGCAGTAGTACAGTAATTAGAGTGTCAGTCGAACCTCCTCGGGGTTGCCTTACCTAAGGAGTAAACCCCTGCCCCATCGGGGTTGCTCCCCACACCATTGGCCAGGTGTGAGGCGTTCGGTTTGCCTGTGTCACAGCCTTGAGGCCAACCTATCCCAGGGGCAGGGGATAGATGACAGCCGGGCACATGGGCTAATGCGCCGGCTGGGGCCTGACCTGGTGACATCGAAGCAGTCATGCAAGTCACCGGAAGCAATACCGGACAAAGAAGGGAGGCCGTTCTTGGGACATGGCTGTGTTGTTGAGCTGGTGTGTTCCTCCGTCTCATTCATGCCTGTTATCACAGAGAACCTTGCTGTTGGGTTGTCTTTGTCGAAGGCAGAGTGCCAACATGTTCAGAATGGGGTTTGGTGTATGTTGCTCTACCAAGCGGCAGCTGCATGCCCGCCAGTTTTGGCAGCTACACTGAGCACATCTGGCGGTTTCAGCTGGGGGAAACAAGCACAAGTCTAGAAAAGTGTTTGAAGTTCTCCGCAGATACAACGAAGAATTTCGAATAATAAACCTCGGTGTTCCATTTTGGCAGGTCCTCGAGCCGTGCCAGGAAGCTTAAACCATGAGCCCTAAACTTCCCTAAACCGTGTTTAAGCTTCAAATTGAAACCCACAATCTTCCAAATAATTTGAGTGTCCACCTCAGCAACATGGGAGGCCAAATATCGAGCAGTAGTACAGTAATTAGAGTGTCAGTCGAACCTCCTCGGGGTTGCCTTACCTAAGGAGTAAACCCCTGCCCCATCGGGGTTGCTCCCCACACCATTGGCCAGGTGTGAGGCGTTCGGTTTGCCTGTGTCACAGCCTTGAGGCCAACCTATCCCAGGGGCAGGGGATAGATGACAGCCGGGCACATGGGCTAATGCGCCGGCTGGGGCCTGACCTGGTGACATCGAAGCAGTCATGCAAGTCACCGGAAGCAATACCGGACAAAGAAGGGAGGCCGTTCTTGGGACATGGCTGTGTTGTTGAGCTGGTGTGTTCCTCCGTCTCATTCATGCCTGTTATCACAGAGAACCTTGCTGTTGGGTTGTCTTTGTCGAAGGCAGAGTGCCAACATGTTCAGAATGGGGTTTGGTGTATGTTGCTCTACCAAGCGGCAGCTGCATGCCCGCCAGTTTTGGCAGCTACACTGAGCACATCTGGCGGTTTCAGCTGGGGGAAACAAGCACAAGTCTAGAAAAGTGTTTGAAGTTCTCCGCAGATACAACGAAGAATTTCGAATAATAAACCTCGGTGTTCCATTTTGGCAGGTCCTCGAGCCGTGCCAGGAAGCTTAAACCATGAGCCCTAAACTTCCCTAAACCGTGTTTAAGCTTCAAATTGAAACCCACAATCTTCCAAATAATTTGAGTGTCCACCTCAGCAACATGGGAGGCCAAATATCGAGCAGTAGTACAGTAATTAGAGTGTCAGTCGAACCTCCTCGGGGTTGCCTTACCTAAGGAGTAAACCCCTGCCCCATCGGGGTTGCTCCCCACACCATTGGCCAGGTGTGAGGCGTTCGGTTTGCCTGTGTCACAGCCTTGAGGCCAACCTATCCCAGGGGCAGGGGATAGATGACAGCCGGGCACATGGGCTAATGCGCCGGCTGGGGCCTGACCTGGTGACATCGAAGCAGTCATGCAAGTCACCGGAAGCAATACCGGACAAAGAAGGGAGGCCGTTCTTGGGACATGGCTGTGTTGTTGAGCTGGTGTGTTCCTCCGTCTCATTCATGCCTGTTATCACAGAGAACCTTGCTGTTGGGTTGTCTTTGTCGAAGGCAGAGTGCCAACATGTTCAGAATGGGGTTTGGTGTATGTTGCTCTACCAAGCGGCAGCTGCATGCCCGCCAGTTTTGGCAGCTACACTGAGCACATCTGGCGGTTTCAGCTGGGGAAACAAGCACAAGTCTAGAAAAGTGTTTGAAGTTCTCCGCAGATACAACGAAGAATTTCGAATAATAAACCTCGGTGTTCCATTTTGGCAGGTCCTCGAGCCGTGCCAGGAAGCTTAAACCATGAGCCCTAAACTTCCCTAAACCGTGTTTAAGCTTCAAATTGAAACCCACAATCTTCCAAATAATTTGTTTTTCTTCAATAATCTTCTAAATAATTCATTTTTCTTCAACAATCTTCCAAATAATTCGTTTTTCTTCAACAATCTTCCAAATAATTCAACAATCTTCTTAAATCTTCGGTGGTGGCTGAGAAGTACCCCTGCTGAGAAATACCCCTAGGCTCATGAATGACTATACCCCTAAACCCTAACCCGGAACTTCGAAGCCCTGAACCCCCAAAGCCAAGCCTCAAGCGCCTACAGACGAAAGCTTTCGTGGCATGAGGTATCAAGTTCCCTGCGCTTCAGAGGTGCAGCTTTCTTGCGAGTGACTTTGCACTTGCATAGTACAGGGGAATATAACTCCAAACCCTATTCTACTTATTAGCACCCCTATATCAAGTACATCCTGCTTTTAAGAGTACTGTGAGTAGCGTTAGCCGAGGGGTCAGGCAGTGTTCGTTGATGTCACTAGAGTCTAACATATCAGTCCTTTTTTAGGTCACTGCATTCACGCACAAGGTCAAGCTGTTAGCACAATTTCGGATCTCAGGTGTGCCAGTTTATTCACGTGGCAGGTTCATGTACGAGGCCCAGATGTTCCTTTCGGGCGTCTCCGTCGTCTGCAGCACTTACACCATGGTCCGGATCTGAGAGCAGCATCCTGGACGGTCTGTTGTCTACCTCCGCGCTGTTGTCTTGAACCTCTGCATTCCCGCTTCGCCGTGAGTTGCAGCTATTGATGAACTTTGCGGTACCTACTGCCGGGAACCTGATCTGTCGACCTCAACTAGCTCGAAGCCCTGGAGCTGGAGGTTATGTTCCTGCTCTGCAAGATCTACACGGTCATGGCGTTGGGCATGTACAAGGCCCGTCGCTGCTCGGAGCTCAGTGCATGAGACACATGAGCAGTTAATCAGTTCGGGAATATTCTAAAGCCTCAGAAGCGTAGAATCCCAGCGCACGTAGCGACTGCATGACTCTGTCTGCATATTCCCGAGCCCGCCTCAGCATGAAGAGACAATGCTGGAACTTCTGAGACCTTCATGGATCCGTGAAGCTACGTAGAGCAGGGTTCGAGCCTCTTCTTGCAGTTTTTATTGATGCCCCCATCTTTTTCCCTAAACCCCATAGATCCGTGTAGTGCCCCTAGAGCAGCATAGAATACCCGAACCAATAATCTAAAACAGGATGTTTCCTACGATCTGTTCCAGCAAGACACGGCCAGGCTCGATTGGGCTTGGTCTGAAACCGGTGTTGGAGGGTTGGGTTTAGGGTTTCGGGGTTCTGGGCTTCAGGATGTAGCAGTAGCATCTATAGTCTGTCTGGTGCTTAGTAGGGGATGGGGGAATGGATCCCTCTTGTAGCCCCTATACAATCCCCAATCATAGTCCCCATAATCCATACCCCCATTCCCCACTAAGAACCAGCCGGTAGTATATCATCTACTAAATAATGTTTAATATTTGGTTATTATAATCCCTAAGAAACAGCTAAAATTATTATCTTTGCTAGGGTTCTAAGTTCAGGGGGTCTTGTATATGGCTTGAGCCTTCAGTCGACGGGGATAAACCGGGTAGACCCTCAACCTGACCATGCCACATGACACAGCCTGAGGGCTTTAGGAGTTTAGGGCTCAGGAGTTTAAGGTTTAGGATTTCGGGTTGAGGCCTCACGCCTAAGAAGCTGAATCACCGGATTCTGCAGCATCGTGTTGGTGTCCGGGTGTGATCGTAGTAACGGCACGAGGCTGGCAAGACTACGATGAAGTTGACCAGAAGCAATCGCACAAGACCCGAATCTTGAAATCCCTCAGCCCCATTCACTCTCGACGCTGCACCTTCCAGCAGGTTTCGTCTTCGCGCTTTCTGGAGCCTCATTATCGCCATGCACAGTTGCCAGACTTTCCTGGATGCCTTGCTGGTCGAAGTTCTCGAGACACGAAATCGGAATGTAAATTCACATTGGCAGGGTCTTGTGGGCTGGAACCACAGCAGGGTTGAAACTGAACCGCAACCCTTCTGTTCCTAATTTACGTACTAGAGCCCCAGAGCCCTTATTCTAGCCACATTTTGAGGTCCCTATACTACTCCCGGACAGCAGTCGGTCAGAAAAGCGAGTGAAGCGAACCTGTGCATAGCATCTTGGCCAGGTCAGAACTTACCCTAAACCCTAAACCCCAAACCCTAACCCTCAACGATTTAAGTCCAGACTTACCCTAAACCCCAAACCCTAATCCTAAACGTTTTAAGTCCAGACTTACCCTAAGCCCCAAACCCTAATCCTAAACGTCTTAAGTCCGGACCTACATTAATCGAAGAAAGGCCCCAGTTTTGGGCTCCCATCACGGGGGCATCTTCGATGCCTCTCTTGCTGGCTTCTGGAATACTACAGTGTCTTATGCTCTTCTATCAGATGTCCTTACGGGAACCATTGTACTTTGTCATATGGGTAGCATTTTTCATTTTTATGGGTACTTAAACCCAATAAGGAATACAAATGTACATGTTTAATCCTATCCCAACAATGAACTAGTGTAGAAGGAAGGAAGGTTTAGTTGCATAAGTCCTCGGGCCAGGCTGCTGAATATGATATGGTTGTGCGCTGTGCGTGTTTTCTCAGTCCCCCCCCAAAGGAGGCAGACGCTCCAGGCAACCTACAACGCAAATGCGTCCTGAAGACCTAGCTGAAGCTTAAACAATAGCCTTCAAGCCCGAGAAGCTGTACCAATCCCGCAAAACTCTTAAGCCATCAGCTGTGCTTCCTAAACCCTACAGCCATCAATCCCTAAACCGACTCTAGTCGCCCTAGTCTTACACGCCAAACCCCAAGGGTCCAAAGGACCCAATAATTAGGTACTCGGTTGCAGAGGTTAGGATTTTGGAGAGCATATGATTATTGGGTACTTGGACCCCGGGGGAAAGAGCCTCCAGCTCCGCAAGAGTGAGGCTTCCTCGTTTCCTTCGCCATGAACATCTTTACGCCCCTCGACCTGTGCTCTTGAAATGACATGCACATCCAATGTAGCTTAATACTGTTTTGGTTTGGGTGTATGTGTGTACATATATATATATATGTATATGCTACCCCCACCCGATGTACCTACCTATTCGGTGTGTTTGTCTCCAAGTGTTGAACACTTCGACGTACTACAAAGACTCTGTGAGCAGGATACAACAGCTATTGATGTGTAAACAATCTTCTTTTGACATGGTGCAACTGTCACACATGGGCCACTGAAGTAGGCCCACTACGATCCACGCTAATAATATCACTACAGTCAATCACTTATTAACTGTATCACAATAGTCTTCGCAACACCATGCAGCTATTGTTATCAGTTGGTGTTACTAAAAGAAGTTGCCCTCCCATCTATATATGCTGGTTGTTGGGAGCACCCCGTATGGAGGTACGGGTACATCGGCCCATAGAGGGCCCACCTTACCTATCAGCAGTGACAAAAATGATTTAATGCGCAACCTCTAACCAACTGAACTAGTGTTATTCCAAGGATTATAAACTAATCTCCATAGTCTTGTACCCTTCTAGGCATAACATTAGTAACCACTTAGATGTAATGGTGTAGACGTTAGCATAATACCACTGGAACACAACTACCATGAATAACCTAGGTAACTTAACTTGTTACAACTACTAAACATAGCTAACCTAAACCATTCATACCACTAGCTGTTAACCTATTGTTAGTACGTCATGTTGATCCTGTTATTAACCATACCTCATCTGACTGTACATATAATAGACTGAACAGAATAGCAATGACTACCTAATGATAAGACACAAGGAAAGCGTGCAGCAACATGATAAGAGTCAGGCAAATCTATGTCAGCATTTCTTATTTAGCCAAGTACAATACCAGTTGGACCACCTATTTTGTACAGTTTATGTGGAAGATCTAGTATACCAGGTAGCAATAGTTGTGAACTAGTACCATTATTAATTATGCATTAAGTATTCAGATATATAGAACACCAAATAAACGATCTTAACGAACCAATTGGTAATTATATTATCAACTTACTAAGTTGTAAAGTTAGCTCTTGTATCACTATTCCATACTATTTGTAAATATAAGATGTGGCCAAACTAAACTTTCCTAATAGACAAATACAACTCATAGCTAAGATACAAATAAGTTAACCAAGACGTGTAATCTGCCAATTACTGTTAAACTATTGAATACCAACTGGTCCAAAGAACCAAACAAATGTTGGTAGAGTATAGGATCACTTCCAAAGTATGGTTCATAGAAGATTGTATTATCGTGTATATCTGTTAATAACATTAGCAAAGCTCCTGTCAATATTGGTGGAACTATTAACAAACTAGATGATGTAATCACAACTGATCTGGTTATATGTTGATAAAGTAACTATATAAACGTAAACCTATTAATTTCATAATATGACAACTCATACAGAAGTTATAAAGATGTTAATGTTGATGATAGACCTGATGTAATGAAACTGTAGCTAGTAAGACTGATACCATAAGTTGTGAATGAGATTAATAAAGTACTATTAATACAAACCATTCCTCTTATGATTACAGGATATTTATGGATATCGACTATGTGCTAACTGTTATCATCCTACTGAGTACGTTTGTTGCTACTCATTCCATTTCATACCATTGCATTCTATAAACATCTGCGGGTTATGAGGCCCTGGGACTACAGGTGCGTACCTAACATAGCAGGTGTTTCAACGCATAAGACTTAGCCTGGCCATCTTGAGACGTCTTCTGGCACTCAGGATATTGAAGACTGATTAAAGCCTTGATCTTCAATCCTCACAACTAGAACGTGTGCCACTTTTATTGTTTTTTCCAATGTTTCCGAGTTTCAGAAGCCGAAAACATTGGAAAAAACAATAAAAACCATAAAAACCATGATTTTCAATCTATGTCCAGGCGCGACACCACTTCCCGGGCGATAGTTTGAAAATCATGGTTTTTATGTTTTTTATTGGTTTTTCCAATGTTTTGAGCTCCTTGTATGCGTTTTTAGTGTTTTTTCCAATGCTTTAAGCTCCTTGTCGGCCAACTTTATTGGTTTTTGCAATGCTTCGGACGCCTTGTGTGCCACTTTTATTGGTTTTTCCAATGTTTCCGAGTTTCAGAAACCGAAAACATTGGAGAAACCAATAAAAACCATAAAAACCATGATTTTCAATTTATGTCCAGGCGCGACACCACTTCCCGGGCGATAGTTTGAAAATCATGGTTTTTTATGGTTTTTATTGTTTTTTCCAATGTTTTGAGCTCCTTGTATGCGTTTTTAGTGTTTTTCCAATGTTTTGGACTCCCTGTGTGCCGTTTTTCATTGGTTTTTCCAATGCTTTAAGCTCCTTGTCGGCCAACTTTATTGGTTTTTCCAATGTTTCGGACTCCTTGTGTGCCACTTTTATTGGTTTTTCCAATGTTTCCGAGTTTCAGAAGCCGAAAACATTGGAAAAACCAATAAAAACCATAAAAACCATGATTTTCAATCTATGTCCAGGCGCGACACCACTTCCTGGGCGATAGTTTGAAAATCATGGTTTTTATGTTTTTTATTGGTTTTTCCAATGTTTTGAGCTCCTTGTATGCGTTTTTAGTGTTTCTTCCAATGTTTTGGACTCCGACTCCCTGTGTGACATTTTTATTGTTTTGTCTAGTGTTTTTGGTTCCCTGCATGAAGCATTTATTGGTATTTTCAATCGCGACCGTGTCGTTTTGGGACGGTGTGCAAGAGCACGATTGGGATCGTGTATAGGAGCACCATCTTATCCTACTGCAGCCCTTATCCCCTGGATAACATAAACCTGCATCGGCTTGCTGAGCTCCGAACCTGAACAGGAAAGCAGGAAAAGGGTAGGTACATGGGGGGGGGGGGTACCATATATATATATATATAAATATATATATATATATATATATATGTTTATTTATTTATGTATATGGCAGAGAGGGCTAGCAATCTCCACATCTGGATGCTCAGATTCGTCATCAGGCTTCCTAAGACGGTTTTGTTTCAAGGCCAGGTTTGTGAGAACTGGTTCTGAGTTTTCAACGTAATACCTGAGCCGGCAGAAGCCTAAATCGTAAACCTGAAAGCCAAAAGGAGCCTGAAGAATCACCATTCCTCAGCATTCCTTACTGTAAGTGTACAGTATAGCACTAGCATCCATGAACCCCACATTCAACCCACCCTCGCTTTTGCTTTACAGTTACAGATTTGCGGAGCAACGGATTTTGGCTGGTTCGGAGACTTCCTCGATAACCCTACCAAAAGACCCCAGTTACCTTCAGGGTTCACGCTTGGGGTGTTTATACGGAAGTCACGCGGGTAGCAGAGGGCAATATGGCAGTTTGACAATGCTGCACGGTGTTTGGCCGCATGCAGGCAACAAGCATGACCATATGACATAGCTTCTTCTGCATTATGCAAAAGTTGTTGTTGCATTATGACTTTGCTGACTGTTTATTGTCGGGGGGTTCTTTAGCTTGGACCTCTCTCTTTATTCGTCCCTCTCAGGGCGCAACAATTGCCATGATTTCATGCACAGCCTTCTTGGAGGTTCATGGGTAGTTATAAGTGTGGTTATAAGTAGGGTAGCTATAGTAATAGCCCCTCTTAAGGAAGTTACTTATAACCCCACTTATAACTACCCTAATCCCTATAAATCCCCATACCCCCGCTTTTGCTACCCAACCTCCCAGTTCCAGGCGAGTGAAAGGCAAGAGGGGCCTTTTCCTCTGCGTGGCGACCATGATGGGGATCGCTCCAGTCGTCTATGCGGCTCAGTGGCAGAGTGTGCTTAGGGTTTAGGTCCCTTATGTACTTAAGGAGTGCCTAGGGTTCCTTTGAGGGATCTGTAAGGGATCTATAGGGTACAAGGCTTCAGGGTTGAGTTCTTGCAACGTAGCACACCTACTCCTGATGTTCGTGTTTTTGATGGGTTCAAAAGCTCAGGCCGGCTCCACTCGGGGGGAGGGGGGTTCGATTCGGTGTCCTTACAGCGAATCGGGTCGAGGTCTCCGATATGTTCGCAAGCTGCGAAGCCTTAAGCTCTGGTTCGCCCAGGACTGGAAGATCATCTATGAGGTCGCAGAGAAATACGTCTATAAGTGAGTCATGCATCGCGGCACCGAAGACGAAGCCAAGGCGAGGGACGGCCCAAGAGCAGCAACGGCGGACGAGGTTTTAAGCTAAGCACTGAACTTTGCGCAGGAAAAGAGTCCTGCCATCTCTGCTTTCGAAACATGCAGTGAAGGGTCCAAGAGCACGCAATGCCAAATTCCCTGATTCGTAAATCGTTCGTGACATAATCGCCAATCTTAAGTAATCGATGGTCCTATCTGAGTTCTTGGAATGGAAGTTCTTGCTGGTGCTTGGCCATGGGTGGGAGGAGCGGCTGCCGCATGTTGAGGAGTTCATGGCTTTAGGTTTGCTAGCTGGGTAGTTGTCAAAATTAGCGTCCCTTGTTGGGTACCTTAAATATTAGGTGCCGTAGTATACGAAGGACCCAAAAAGGGACCATAATTTTGACATCCACCCAGATAGAAAACAGGACCAGACCTTTATCCTCCTGAATCAGGCGCACGAATCCTGTACCGTTCTGCTTTGCCTGAGCAAGTAGTTGATCTAGGTAGGGCTTTGGGGACTTTCTATATTTGCTCTTATTGGGCTTAAGAGGATCTTACCTACTAATATTGTTCAAAGGCTTTAAGAGCACCTCCTAGTGATGTAGTTCCCGGGGTGAGCCCCCCTGTCTGCCAAGACGTAACAATGGAATCAATTTATAATCGTAATGAGTAATAGTATCAATAACAGTACCAAGAATAGCGTTATGATGATAACAATAGTCTCCGTACTCTCCAAGAATGATGGCAATGTGTGGTAATGGTAAAGGTAGTAGTAGACTAGGATGCCCAGTAGTACCCTTATTCCCTTTTTGTAGTCCTAGGTTCCTTAAAAAGTTACCCAATACCAAAAAGAGAGGCCTTTTTATTCTTAGGTTACTGGGTATCCTAGTAGATCATGGCAATGAGGCGAGCCGTCGGCTTCGTTTCGGGGAGTGTCGTTCTGCCATGCACAGGTCGCCCTTCCTGAAGTTTGCACCACACAACCGTCACAACATCACAGCTTCGATTGAGGGTTTAGGGAAAGCTCGATATTCAGGTGCAACTTTCGCGGTGCTTGTGCACTTGGATTCAGAAGAATGAGTCCACAGACCCAGACCCTAACCCCTGAAATCCGAAACCCCAAACCCTCAACCCTTCGCTTTGGCAAAATGAGTCCGTTTCCTTGCGGGCGCGACACGGCCCCCTGCGAAATCGCTTCTACGCCGGCCCAAAGGAGGTTGGCTGTTTCCGTAGGAGACGGGGCAAGGCCGCCAAGTGGAGCGATTAAGTGGACGGATTCAGGATTATAGGCTACTACGACGTACCAGGGTTGAATAAGGCCGTAGCATAAGGGTACTATACGGGCTACGGTTTACGGGAGCAGTTAGGGCTTTCGGCATTCAGGGTGTGGGGCAGGGGTGTTGAGGGTTTGAGGTCCAGGGTTCGAGGCTGTCCTGGAGAAGGTGGTCGAGTAGCACCCATAACATATAGGCGCCTTAATAACTAGAATAGGGTTTTGGGGCCCATTATACTATAATTCTCATTTAGGCACCTATAGCAGGTATCTGCAGGAAAGCAGCACATGGACAGTCTCGATATCGTTTGTTCACGACGACCATCGACTCCTTCATATTAAGCCCATGCTTGCTCAAGTGCTTCTAAGGCTGTTCGTGCTGGTAGAAGGTGTTGTGCTGGGAAGGCGCCTGGAATGGTGTTTGTTTGGGATCCTGCAACGTGTGCTTTTGTGTTGTGCATATGGAGAGGCTATCCCTTGGCCAGCCGAACTCCAAATTTCCGAAAGCACTTAGAGATCATGGCTAGTTCGCAGTAGGGTTTTCAGTGCGTACACTTGGGCAGGCTACAAGTGCTTATGGTTTTCATGACCGGATTTAGAACCCTACTCAGGACTGGTCATGCACCTTCAAGTATGCCTATCTGCCAGGCGCCAATGAAGACTTGCTGCGA